CCCTGCACTATATCTGTGCAGTCTCCCAATTGGCTTCTGCTCAGCTCACAATCTGCAGATCCACATTCCAGATTGCCTCAGTATTACAACATGAGATGCCTTAAGGAAGCAAAGCATAAATATCCTAAGACACGTTTGATGGAACTAAAATTGACTATTTTACAAAATTTTAAGTGAAACATCTTTAAAGGTCACAAATAAAACTGAAAAATGATGTAACACTTAAGACAGCTCAGCAATTTTATGTGAAACACTCAACAAAATACTATAGAAGACTCATAATTCACTAACCATATACCTGCATATAAATTTCAGTCATAACAATTAGAAATTTATATACCAAATGCAAACCTACAGATTTCTGTGTGGGTATAGTAATAAGAGCTCCCAGTGTTCAGATTTCAAGTATGAATATTATACATGTCATTTTTTTGTCACTATTCTAGGTAACCAATAGGAATAGTCAATTTATTAGGAATATAGTAACATAAAGGTGTGGGGATGAATAGAGCTCAAGAGAAAGGGACATTACTAGTGTAAGGCAATCTCTTTGTGCTATGTCAGAACTAAGAAAACTGAGAGGCTGCCAGATGTCATCAATGAGATTACTACATAGATGAATTTTTGAACTCGCTGCTAGGTTTTCTACTGTCGTTAATGAGAGTCCATGACTGACCTGTACCCAGCACTGATCTGAGGCCCGTTTCTGACAAGGACAATAGTGAGTTGAAAAACAAACCTCTGTCTGAAAGAAACAGCAATTCTACAAAAAGATGCTAAATTGATTGCCATGTGATGATGTTTTTCCCCTACAAAATAAATGATTCTGATCCCACGGAGATTATTATTTGCAACAATTTGCAATAATATTAGTTCTAGAACTGAGAAGACTCAGCTAGAACTTAGGAATAAGCTTTTACAGTGCCTAAAATGCCTACACTTTATAGGCATTAATAGGTGGATACAAAATTTCAATATATTTGATAATTTTTACAATCAAGGGGTACACATTCATCAGAAAGAGAACTTACATAAACAAAAAATTAGTCTCTTTAAAGAAACCAAGCTACAACTTCCTATCATGTTCCCAGCATTGTTCTAAGAGACTATACACAAATTATGTCACTTAATAGTTTTTTTTCCTATTTTACAAATGTTGGTCAATTAATTACAGTTAAGGAGATATGACGCCATGTGACAAATATGTCAACCCCAAAGCTCAAACGTTCCCTCACTATACCACCTTGTAAGTTAAAAAAGCATGCAAAAAATTGTTACTCTTCTTTTTGAAAAATAGAGTCTTATTGTATTATTCCTTTCCCCTCTTAAATCTGGACTGGCTGTAGGAACTTGTTTGACCATTGACTGAGCTATAAATGACATCTCTGGATTTCTAAAACTAGGTTATAAGAAATAAAACTTGGTTACACCCATGCAAGACCTATAGGAAAAACTACTCATAGGTTCCTGAGCAACCATGAAATAACATGAAATGATGTTCTTAGAACAAATGTAAAGGGGGCCCAGTTGAACCCAACTTTACAGCTATTCCCACAAGATGCTAGGCATAAACCTTCTCAGTTGTCGCCATGTAGAGAAGAAAATTACCCATCTGTTCTCTTGCCAAGCTCTTGACAGACAAGATAGTATATAATATGATTAGTTAATTATTCCTCCTTTAGTAGTTAGCTATACAATGGTAAATAATTGAATAAAAAATGACTTTTTTCCTGTGATACCACCACACTGTGAATGCCAAGAGAGTCCAGTTAAAACAATACAGTCTCATACTATGGAAAAATAAAATTTTCTTCTGATTTTTGAGAGAAAATGAATTCTTTTATAATTAAGGTTCAAATACACTTGAATGAATAAAACAGAGGAAGGAGCAACAGTGGAAGAAAAAAATGTTACAGTTAACATGTTTGAAAGGAACAAAAAGAGAAAGAGTAAGCATTTAGTTAGGATTCTTTTGACTTGAAGTTTATGGAAACCTTAAACTACCTAAGCAAAAGCCCAGTATGGAATGTATTGGATCATGTAACTGAAAACTGTAGTGGGAAACTGATCTGGACATGCTCAGATTAAGTGTCAAAAATAATATTTGAAAGTTTCTTTCCATCTTTTAGCTTCATTTTCCGATGGGTTGACTTTAGTTAGGAAACTCCCTCATCCTGGTGACAAGATGGCCAACAGCAGCTCCATCTTTATGTCATATGATCTCAGCTGCAAACACTTGAGCAAAAGGAATTGTTTGTTTGGATTGTGCCACTGCTTGTATTGTGTCACAGGTCCTGCTCTTACCAGTTTCTGTGATCAAAGAAATAAAATGCTCTGGCTGGTCAGGTCTGAGTCAGCTGACCACCCGTTAGCCTTGAGGTATGGATTTTACTGTGTGTCTGAGACTGTTTCTTCCCACACACAACCCTGTGCATTTGGTCCCATCTTTAGGACTGGAGGGTAAATATGACAAAGAAGACAATAAGCCTTCAAAGGGCTGTGAGAAGGAAATATTTTTTCTTCTTCACACAATTAAATCGAAGTGTATAACTTGATTTTATTTTGGTTATCTAAAAACGCAGGTATAATGTTCATAGACATTGACTTTAAACAAAATTATAACAGTCAGCCCTTTTACATCCAATTTGTTCTCCTCTTTCTTCTGTCTAAGAGCACATTCCCTGGCGTGCAGTGTTCCCATTGGTCTTATGCTGTTCTTTTGCAGCACAGGACCCCTCAGGAAAGTCCTATCCTCCCTGCTGAGGGTCCTATTTTCTGGAACGGATCTTTATGAGAGCTGGACAACTGATGTCAAATAGCTGAGCCAGTCATCAACCTGCCCTTGGCTCTGTCTTGCAAAATGAGGGGTCTGTTTCAGTTACCTCAAATGTACGTCATGTAACCAATGGCCTCAGACTTTCCACTACGGCAAATCCTACAAAGGCATATCCCAACCCACTTATATACCTCATGATTATGGTTGGAAAAGAAGAGGAAACACTTACTTTCTTTCATAAATCCAAAGAGGGGGACATTTTCAAATGATTCCTTACTCTGGAAAGGGATGAAGTCAACACCACCAATCTATGTCCCTTTACTTTTTACCCTACACAGGAAGGAGAGGTGCTATTGGGTGGGAATCTGACTTCAATGAGAGCCTGTTTTCCTGCTTGAGGAGATGACAGGTCACTGCTCAACTGTGGCATTATGTCGAATTCTGAAATCCCTCTCCTGCTCTGATGCAAGCCATGGTCTGTCTCTGTCCCTGCCTGTGAGTCCTAATACACAACTTGGAGAGCCTTCTCCATTTACTGAGGAGACATTTCTCCCACGCCCAGAAGCATTCCTTGAACTTGAAGCATGGGGACTGAAGTCTGCAGACTCATCTCTCTTTGCAAGTACAGACATTTTTATTTGGACCACAGGGAAGGTAACTCAGTTTGGACCTCAGGTCTATGCCACATTGACCAGTCTAGATTTTCCAAAGCCTAAATTTTATTTACTACTATTATTTACTACACTTAAAAAGATGACACCATGAGCCCCCATTTAGCTAGTGACTTTTCTCTCTATAGATGTGAGCTTGAAAGAATAGAGATGCACATTTTAGTTCTTATCTGCCTGTCATGGACATTTCCAAAATACTTTCACACACATTATTAGCATTTCATTCTCAAAACCATTCTGATACCGCAAGGCAGGAATTATTAATTTTAATTTATAGCCAATAAAATGGAAATTTAAAAAGTTGAGTGCTTCATCCATGATCTAGTCAATTGATGGTCAAGGGGGACTGATTCTATATCATAAGACACTGAGGCTAGGATATCAAAATTAGAGGTACGCTAGCATCTCACAGTTTCACAATTCCACACAAATATTCTCCCAGAAGAGTAATGTCTAGAAGTGACTACCTTCCTGGCATGAAGTTGTTATGCAAATTTGAGATTTCTAAACTTTATGTGCTATACAGGATAAGGACAAAAAGAAAATCATGTAAATAACAAAGTATCATAATGTCAGAATAACTTAATTGCTAAGCTACTATATACTGTGACCATGCAGATCACGAAAATAATACATTGCAGATGTTTTATCCACTAGATCTGAGTGAACATTATGGAGCTATAGGTTCTGGTAAAAACATGTAACTGTGTTGCTTCTGTTGTTTTCAAGGACCTTATTGTGTGGGCTATTGGATATCACTAGAGATAATGTGAGCCTTAAAGCCTGTCAAATTGAGGCAGGCTGTGCACCTGCACCCAGCCGTCCACCACCGGCCACTCTGGCAGCTGTCAGTGTTCCCACACTTCCCAACAGAATTGGGGGATCGAGCCACAGGCAGATTGTGTCTGCTCATGAGCAAAGAGGAAATAAGGTGACAGAAAATAGGAAAACCTTGCATGTTATCGCCCTCAGTGCTAAACCAGGAAACACTGAATGCAGCAAAGTAAATCGAAGAAATAGTTTTGAAACTGGCACACTGCATGTATTTGGTGTAGAGATATAGAATTTCTAGAGAATTTCCCCATAATAGTAATATATCAAATTAGTATCTGAACATGTTTCTGTATATTGAGCAAAACAAGAGGAGGAAAATTCTGACTGATACCATGCTCTAGTGGGCGTGGTCTCAATATTAGTAATGGTATGAGCTTGAAATGAATATTTTCACCTACCATGCATTGGTTTCAGTTTTTCTATTTTACTTTTTTCATGCATGTGCGTGTGTGTGTGTGTGTGTGTGTGTATGTGTGTGAGAGAGAGAAGGGAAAAGAAGAGGAAGTAGGAGAGAGGGGAGGGTAGAGAAATCCTCTTAAATTACTTAAGCTGACTTTAAATTACTTAGATTCATCATAGAGACCACTGATCAAGTATATGCTAAGATTACTGTTGTCTTTTGGTAATGATGGAGCAATTGTGTTTGTATGCAAAATTACTGGGGTGATTAAATAAAACAAAGAAACTAAATATGTTCTGCTTATTTTTATTCACCTAGACAATGTTTTAGGAAAGTATTAGAGAATGTCACTGTCTTGATCATGGCTGCAAACAGTTAAACCCACCACTTCTTCTTTGTAGCTTGTCCTCTTAGATATGGAAGAAGGTTTTGGACAGACCTTCACAGGCCAGACTCTCAAAAGAAGGATCCAGGCTCTGCCATGGAAAGTATAAATACAAAGATGTTATTGTGATAGATGACAAGACAAGAATACAAATGCTCAGAAGAATGTTTATATAGAGGGATGTAACACAAACAATATGAAATAACATTGCCAAATTCCAGTAACTAGGTGTTCGTTAGTTCCCTTGTTCCACCCTGATACTTGCACCAGTGAAAATTTGAGAACAGATTGAATACACAATTCCTCAGAATATGTGGTGTCCCTTATTCTCCTTCTTACATATAAATAAAGTGGCACTTAATTTATTGCCCTTCTAATTGAATTTTATGATATGTGCATATCAAGATTCAGTGAGGAAGGGATTGTCATCAAAAATGGCAGAATAGGCCCTCCCTGGTGGTGCAGAGGGTTAAAGCACAGCACTAAGAAGCTTAAGCCACTTCCACATGAGTTCGATTTCTGCCTGCCCTGGAGGAGACCACATGGCGTGGCAGACCTCTCCTGACCCACCTGCTGCTCTCCTCAGTAGTGTACTTCATCGATTTGCCTGTTCTGTTCCCCACTCTGTCTCTGGTGAATCCTCTCACCCTCCCCAGCTCTGGCCTGTACTCCCGTTCTATATGAATAAATAAATAAATTGTTTAAAAAAATGGCAGAATAAAGACTTCCAAATTTTTCTCCACCATTAATGAAATAAAAAATATCACACAAAATTATCATAATCAGTATTTTCACAATGTTAGGAATTAAAAGCTCCTAGAAATCTGGGTTGTGATTTTCCTGGGAAAAAGTAGTTGAATCCTGGTTTAAAACAAAACAATGAGCTTTGTAGGATTTTAATTTGTCCTATGCTCATGATTTCTCCCAACTCTACAATAGCTTAATTTCAAAAATCAGAAATTAGAGAAGGGACATTACTCCTCATCTTTCAAAAATAAAAAAAAAAGTAATAAGAAAAAATACAATTTCTAAATGGTTAGAGTCAATAAATTTCCCAGAGTCCATAAAAATACCGTTACATTTATGATCAATTCTAAAGATAGCAAGCCAGTTCAGTGGGGGTTAAAACAGTCTTTTCAAAGAACAGTATCAGGACAAGTAGCTAGTCATACGCAAAAGAAAAAAAAATAGATGCTTACCTCACACAATACACAGAGATTCATGAAAAATCAATTATCATCTAATTAAAAGCTAAACTATAAAATTCTTAGAAGCAAGCAGAGGGACAAATCTTTGCCCACGGGGACAATGCTTTCTTAGCCAAAACATCCTAATCAAAAGTAACCAAAAAAAAAAAAAGAGAGAGAGAGAGAGAGAGAGAAGATAATGAGAGTTTTGTCAAAATTTAAAACTTTTAGGAAACTGTGGTGCAAATTGGGAAACAATCTAACAAACAGCCTATAACTAGCAGAACCTAGAGTATGGGAAGTGAAACTGGTAGCCAGACTCCAAGCTGCATGTTCCGAGATGAAGAAAGGCCCAACAAGGATTAAGAACATGCAGAGTACTCACAGGAACAGGAGTAATACCTGCTCTGGCCAGACAGGAAAACTCATGATTCAAAGGGCAGTGGGTTAAGTATTCAGGAGAATATTGCCTCAGGATTGGGAATAATGAGCTCTAGAAAGATCACTGCTCTGACTCCTTCTATAATCTTAAAACAACACCTAAAAAGTACCACACTATTTCTAGGTAACTGAACTATACCCCAGAACAAAGATCAATAATGTTTATAGAAATAGAAAGATGCCCAGGACCCAACAAGCAAAATCTACAATGTTTGGCCTCTAAGCAAAAGTTAACCAGGCATACCAAAGGAACAACGTGGTCCATAATGAAGAGAAAAATCAATGGAAACTGACCCAGCCACACAGACAACATTGGCTTCCTTTGCTCATTTAGTGGCTGCATTCAGAACCTGCTCCAGAACCCTAATTTAAACAGGGACCGGGTTGGCTCCCTCATCACAGACGGTATGTTATCTGCAAAGGAACTTTACTTTGGAGGCTGCTGCCTGGAGCAAACCCAGAGGACCCGCCAGGAGCTAACACCCACAAAACACTCAGTTTCTGTTTCATTCTTGGTTCCATACAGGTATTATTCTTGCTTTTGAATATGATTATTATTATTATTATTTTCATTTTTACATCTTGACTCTTAACTACTGTGTTTGGAGCCCAGCAGTAGCTTTAAAATGTGATCTCAACAGAGAGTCTCACACATTTCTTTCAACCCTCACTTGTTCTCAGTAACAATACTCTCAATTTTTTTTCTCACCTCTCTGACTACTGTCTTTCTTTCTCTGGATTCCCCTTCCCTGCTCACCTCTTAACTGTGTGATCTTTAAAATTTCCATTCCCTCTTTACTCGAAGGTAATTGTTAATTTGAATCTTTGTAGGTCCCTGATAGCCTAGAAATTTATGAAAATTCCAAATAGTTTCCTTTTCTTTCTTTCTTTTTTTTTTTTTTAAAGATTTATTTATTTAGGTGCAGGGGCAGTGAGAGGATTCACCAGAGACAGCGTAAGGAGCAGAACAGGCAGATTTATGAAGTACACTGCTGAGGGGAGTGATGGTGTGCGAGACAGGAGAGGTCTGTTGTGCTATGTGGGTCAGTTCCCTGGTCAGGGATTGAACTAGTGCTGAAGTGGCTGTGGATAGCTACAAAGTTCTATGCTTTAAAGTCCTATGCTCTAACTTATCCTTGTGTCACCAGGGAGAGCCCCCAAATATTTTCAATCTGAAAAAAAGAATGCCAAGTGACACTTAAAAATATCCTTGTTTAGGCCTCCTTGGTGGCACAAGGGGTTAAAGTCTCAGCACTATCAAGCTATCACCATCCACTGTGGCACAAGTTTAATATGCAGCCATGGAGTTATCCCACAAGGCACAGCAGACCTCTCCTGTCTTGCCCGCTGCTCCTCTGAGCAGTTTATTTTAGTAGAGCTGCTTGTTCTGCTCCCCATTCTCTCTCTGGTGAGCCCTCTCCCCTTCCCTCTACCTCTGGCCTAAATCCTAGTAATTGTATCTGTAAATAAATAAAAATAAATCTTTAAAAATATTATCTTTCATTATTACAAGGAGCTCTTCTTGCTGGGATGTTTATAATACAACTGATGCTTCACTTATTTAAAAGGAACTCCAGGCCCTCCCTGGTGGCGCAGTGGGTTAAAGCACAGCACTGAGAATCTAAAGCCGCTTCCTCATGAGTTCGATTCCCGCCTGCCCCGGAGGTGACCACATGGTGTGGCAGACCTCTCCTGACCCGCCCACTGCTCCCCTCAGCAGTGCACTTCATTGATCTGCCTGTTCTGCTCCCCACTCTGTCTCTGGTGAATCCTCTCACCCTCCACATCTCTGGCCTGTATCCCAGTTCTGTATGCACAAATAAAATAAAATCTTTAAAAGGAACTCCAGGTTTCCAGCAAGCATAACTATAGATGCTACATCATTACATGTCATATGTGAACACAGGACTCTTTAGCAGTACCCCACAGAATGAGAAATAGACTTGGATCCTGTAAGTGTTGAGAACAGAGTAAATCACATAGAAATAAATTGGGTTTGTTAAATGAAGGGCAGATAGGAGTTGAGTGTAGATTTCCCATTAATATTGGCAAAGATTTTGTATCTTCTTACATTGTTAATAATCAAATATTAGGTATTTGATTGTATGTTTCATAACTGCTAGACCCTGGGGTTACCCAGAAGAGCAAGACATAATCTTTGCCTTCACTTGGAGAAAAAAATACCTTCATTGGTATAAAAATGTACTCTCTTCATTTTCTTATTTATTTGAATTCTGCTCCTTTCTTCTCTAAAGGAGACAGAAAGACATATTCTCTAGAAGTGACAATCTATGGAATAGGGCCCTTGTTGCAATGAGGCATGAGAATACCTAATCTAGTTGTCCTTCTAGCGGGCTCAAGGAGTTCTCCTTTGAGACTGAAACCTAAAGAGGAATCTAGCAGGGTGTTTTTCTTTCCCCTGCAAGCTCACTGGATCATTATCCCTAATTGGGCAGAGTAGCACAAATAAGCCAAAAGGGGGGGAAATCACATAGAGGGGGCTTATTTTCCAAACACTGCCCTGTTCTCTGATCTGTTAGGCGAGCTCATTTTAGAATTGGGGGGTCAGAAATTCGGGGTCACAGAGTCTTGGGACTAGAGAAACAAAATTTGGATGTAAATAAGGTATGCTTTTTTTCACAGAAATGCTGGGGAAGGGACAGGTCATCACAGTGGACAGAATCTCTGCTCTCTGACACGACAAAGTATCTATTACATGAGAACTTCCTTCTGGCGCCAGGAAGCATTTAGTTTTTCCTTGTGTTCAATGGGGGAGGAGATGGTGTATGCGTGATGGAGGGGTGGCAGGTATCAGAGATCTGCTAAAATGAGGGTGATTCAGTAGCTCACACTTAGGACAAGGGTTGGAGAAGAATGAGCCCGATGAGAGGGAATGGAGATGATGCCGGAATAACTACCTCTGTATGTTGGTCTACAGTTTCCAGAGAAGCTTGCAGATAGTCTCCTTGGCCCTCACCGCCACAGTACTGTGGACTAGATACTGAGAAATGGTGCCAAATGAGTGAGTGATTGGACCAGGCCACTCAGAGGATTAATGCATTTCTCCCACTATCCTCAAAAAAGGGGGTGCTTTTCAGTACCTGATTCTTGTCAGGATGTCATTGTTTGCCTCGGCTAATTTCACAATTAAATCAAACAAGGCTTGGGACCACATCCTGAAGACCTGAGCTGAGTCTTATATTTCAAGAGATGTTTTAGTAATGGGGACTTTAGGTTTACAGACCTTACTGACAAAAATCAATAGAAAAAGAAAAATCTCCTGTGACAGACATATTTTTTAGTTTCTGCCTAAAAGTCAAAGTCTGTCTCAAGGGATTTTTAAAAACAAGATTATTCTCAGACCCAGTAACCATAGCCCTAACCCAAACTTAGTAACTTTTAGGATTCTCCAAAACACTGAGGGCCAGAGAGTTTGCAAATATGTTTCCTGTAGCCTTTACCACAGGGCTATTTCTTCCTGAGAGCTGGACTGCTTTACCCTGCAAATCAAGTATCCAAAGTACAAGAGATACATTTGGAATGTGGCATTTACAGAATAGTTTGGTGTTTGTTTCTAGAATTGATAGATATTGTTTTATATTCCCCCCCATAGTCTCTTGTATTTTTTAGCTGAATGACAGAGAAAATAGTATCTCTGACTTTTGTCACTTTGCATTGATACTTTTCATTCTCAACCCCTACTCTTCTACCTTTAGTCTCCAAAAGCCTGAGGTGTCCAGACCCTACTCTCCCTCCTATCTAAGGCTTAATAGGGATAGAAGGAAGCTATAATCTTAACATAAACTTTAGGTCAACTAGGACTCCTCACCAGCCCCAGCCAGTCTTGACTCAGAATGTTCGCACAGGCACCCAGCCAATTGGCTGGCAGAGCCTGAATGCCTGGGATTCGTTCCCCTCCTAGGAAGGGAGCTGCAAGAATCCAGACAGAGGATGCCCTCAAACCTGTAGCTTGTTCTGGGACATCCACTTGTTACAGGTGGAAGAACGGAGTCTAGGGAGAGCCTCATCTGTGAGCTCCTCTCTCCCCCCTAAGTAACTTGTTTTCTGCACATGCTGTGACCTGACACTACCTAACTTCTATACCTGGCAACCCAGACTTGTGTCACCTCAGGCTGGGCGTGGTACTCTAGGCCCAGTGTTTCCCTGCAAAACCCCAGGAACTGGGCACCAAAACCATAGCTGATGTCCCTAAGGTAAACTATCCTGCCTGAGGAATCAAGACCAGCACCTTTCTGGGACTGTTCCCTGACAAAGAGCTAAAGGGATCCATGCACTGTTATGTTCACTGTAGTACCTGTTACCATAGCTAAATTAAGGAAACAACCTAAATGTCCATCAACAGAGCAGTGTATTATAAAGATACGGTATACATATATGCAATGGAATATTATTCATCTGTAAAAAAAGATGAAAATTTGCTATTTGGACACTATGCATGGGACTGGAGGGGATTATGCTATCTGAAAGAAGTCAGAAGGGCAAAACAGATGCTGGATGATTTCCCTCATATGTGGAATAAGAGAAAGGAAAGACAGGAATGGACAAAACTAACGCTCGAAATATGACTTAAGAATTGAGGCTACTAGATGGGGAGAATGGATTGGTGAAAACAAAGGTGGGAAGTTGGAAGAATCAGTGGCAGTTGGAGAAAGAAAAGGATTCTAGGCCTTCCCTGGTGGCGCAGCGGGTTAAAGCACAACACTAAGAAACTAAAGCCACTTCTGCATGAGTTCGATCCCCGCCTGTTCCCCCCCCCAGGACATGGCCACCAAATGGCACGGCAGCCCTCCCCTGACCGCCCGCCGCTCCCCTCAGCAGTGTACTTCCTTGGTCTGCCTGTTCTGCTCCCTGCTCTGTCTCTGGTGAATCCTCTCACCCTCCACATCTCTGGCCTGTACCCCAGTTCTGTATGAATAAATAAATCTTTAAAAAAAAAAAAAGGGATTCGAAAGCAGTCCCACTCATTTTCCCCGAGTGAGATCCCTTCTGGGAACTGTGCTCTTTTAGATCCTGGAAGCTTTTTGTTAAGGCAAGTGAAACATCTGGTGCCACTTGGAATCTGAGACAAGACCAGGGTTTCAGTACAAACCTGGGTCAGCTCCAGACCCTGACACTTATTGTGTGAAATTGGGCAAAGCAGTTCATAGTGATAAAAGTAATGAGCATTTACTGATCTTCTTCTGTGTAGCCGGCGCTGACCCAGAGTTGACCACATACTTCCTCTCCCTCCCCAAATGACAGATACTTCACTTTATAAATTAGGGAACTGGGCCTCGGATTGAAAGCTGCCGAAGGTCATACAGCCAATAAAAAGGTGAGCCAGTATTAGGAAATATGATTAAGTGTATTATTTATACTATAATGTAACTACTCCCAGTCAATACCTCCTACCTCCATTGCATACTTAGAAAGGATTTTCAGGATCATCAAATACGTCATGAGTAACAGTTATGTGTATATAGATACACATATGTCTCACAAAGGCACTGTGTGTGTACATATATCTCTATGTAGAGCTCTATCTACCTATATACACCTATATATAGAGATGTACATATAGATCTGTTTGGATCTATATACCTGTATATATAGATGTATATATCTCAAATATACACTGTGTGCATGTATGTGTGTATGTATGTGTGTATCTCACACAGGATTTTTTTCAAAGTGCTTTTTATATTTTTTACTTAAATTAATTGAAGTGTCATTGGTTTATAACATTATATAACTTTCTGGTAGGTGTACTGCATTATACTTCAACTTCTGTGTATACGACATTATGTTCATGACTAAAAGTTTAGTTTTCTTCTACCATCATGCAGCTGTAATCCCTCAGTGTACTTCTTTACATACAAAAGTAAAGCTTTGTTATCCATTTGCAGTGTGTGGTAATGTGCCAAAATTATTAAAATAACTGAGATTTCAAAAGAGATTATACTTTCACTTTTCAGCTCATGGGACTATAATCATTGAGATAGAAGGAAAAGTGAAAGCATTTTGAAAGATATGTGAGATAGCATTGCAAAAAATATTAAAACAAGCTTCAGTTATATACTGATCTGAAATGTATATGAGATACATTTCCTACTATTCATTAGGATTCTGCAACTTGAAAAAAAATGAAGGAATGAAAATAGGAAATAATAGGAAAACAGGAAAAAATAGGAAATGGAGGGAAAGGGGAAATGAAAGGAAAATAGAAAAGAACTCCTGTTTTCTTAAAGAATAGGAGGGAGGGAAGGAAGGGGAACAGAGAGGGAGGGAGAGAGCAAAAGAGGAAGGGAAAGGGAAGGGGAGGTAAAAAAGAAGGGGGAGAGATAAAAGGAAGGAAAGACCTATGGAAAAATAAAATGCTAGGGGCAGGGAGTATCTTCAAGAAAGAGAAACTGGCCATGACCCACTTAGAGTTGAGGCTGGGTACAGTTTTTGTGACTGTTTAGAGAAAATCTAGTGCACTCCCTGCCATTAATCTTTCCTAAAGAAAGACTTTGTTCTGCACCTGTATAAACAATTCAGATTTTTTTTAACCTATATGCTTGCCCTTAATATGTGAGACTATGTATTTATACTGATAACTTCAAGTCATCAATAGGTGATGCAGAAAGCTAGCCTGATATCTCCCCTTGCATCTTTTTTGCTCCCACTTCTTTCCTTTTGCTTCCTTTTTTAGCCTAGTGCACCCAAAGTCATTTTCTAGTTCAGGAACTGCAGGAAAGATCTCTACATTCCCTGTGTTTTCCCAACTCAGAGAGAACTGAGGGGAAAAAAGAGCAATCTTTTTACTAAACAGACCCCCAGAAGGGGGGGTCTATTCATCCCGCCCCCCCCCACCTCCCATCAAAGTGAAAAAATATATACTGGGACAAAACCTCTGGAAACAGAGGCAAGCAGGGTGGAGGCTGGGGGAGTATGTGAAACATCCCCAGGAGAGAAGCGCAGCCTGGGAGACCAAGGTGGACTGCTGCCTTAAGTGATGAAGTCAGCCTTGCCAGCCACCTGTTGCAGCACTTCAGGCACAGAGCCCTGAGATTTGTTCTGGCGGAGGCACCAGCGGAGGGCTTCTGCCTGCTCTGACTTGGGCTGACTGCACATTTTCCTTCTGCACTTTGCTCAGTTTAGGAAGATGTGTGCATTGGGGGGAAGGACAAGTAAACACCCAAGCCAGTGTGAGGATTCAGCTTCCTCACCATAAAACAGTGTAAATATGCACCCAGTCTCATAGATTTTTAATTTATTTGTGTTTGTGTTGTATCACCTTAATTACCCAGTGGGAAGTCACAAAGCAAGCAGCAGGCATGCAGTGCCTGGCCATTAATTAGTATTTGCTTCCAAATAAAATACACATCTCTAGATCGTGTATTGCTAATGCTTTTCTTATTAGGAAATGAAACTACATTTTTGTTGCCTTTGTGGGGATAGCAGGATGCCTTATTTTTGATTGTCATGGGCACTATAATTCTGGATACAGTTCTGTCATTTGTTAATGGAACGATTTGCTGACTTAGCATTCTGTATCTTGAGTCTGCTCTTCAGCAAACAATTTAACATAGTAATCGATTCCATAGATTGCATCTCAAAGCATTGGGTCAGGGCTCCCTATCTTACACATTGCATGAAAAACAAAATCACGAGGGGAATTCAGATAGTAGAAAATACCAGATACAACATCCTGTGGTAGATGTCAAGGAGGCCAGGAGCTACTGGACCACCGAAGAGCCAAGGGTTTGAAACACAGATTTGAGTTTTTATTCTACTTACCCGTCCGGTGATTTTGGGTTATTTACTTAATCTCTCTCTGTGGATCTGCTTCAAGTTCTGTAAAGTGGACATAAGAACTTTTAAGTCACAGATGTTTAAAGATGAAAGGAACCAATGCAAGTAAGAGTGTTTTGTAAGTCTCAAAACAATGGTAAAGGACAAAGAAGAAGAAAACAATCTTCAAGTCTTGCTGATTGTTCAGTGTTATTTGTTTAGCTTCCTCCCCCCCCCCCCTTTTGTCTTACAAGCCTTGGATAGGTGGTTATCATTATGAGTGATGAACTTGGAAAACTCTTCTGCTGAAAAGCCTGGATAAGATGTATAGTCTGTTAGTCGGTGATCCCGGAGTATCTAAGTGTCCACCAGTCTATAGTTGAAGAGGGGAGTGGCATGGGTACTATCAAGGCCTGCTCCTTCATTTGCACTACTCATACTTATCTTGATCAGACAAACGGAGGGTCACTTGGCCCAGGAGAAACTTTCCCTTGCCCGCCCAAACTAGCAGATCCTCTGCGCAGAGAAAAGTGGTCCCCACCCCTTCCACGCCCCCGCCCCACCTCTTGGTCCCCTTTCCAACCCCCTCTTCCTTGCCCAGGGTGGTTTGTTCCGAGTACAGATAAATAGTCCTGTCAAAAGGCGCAGTCCGCGGTTGTAAGCGCCAAGTCTGGGCTGGGGCGCCAACTTTTCGGCCGCCCTCTCTGGGGTCAGCGTCAGGGCTCGCGCTCTCTCACCGCCCTCCTCACTCTCGCGCCTCCTGACCCAGATCGTCAGTCCTCCTCCGAACTCTGCCTGGCCTCCCTCCTCTGCCAGGGAGGGGAAGGTGGAGACCGCGAGACTGGCCTGAGGGAGGAAGGCAGGCGCGCGCTGGATCGGAAGACTCAGTGATGTCCACTGGCTCGGTGAGCGACCCAGAGGAGATGGAGCTGCAGGGTCTGCAGCGGGGGTACCCGGCCGCCGCTTCTAAGAGGCCACCTCTCTGCGGAACCGAGCGCAGTTATGTCTCGCCTAGTGACAACTCTTCAGCCGAGGAGGAGGACCCGGACGGCGAGGAGGAGCGCTGCGAGCTGGGCGCAGCCCGAAGCACGGGAAACTGCAAGAGGAAGCGGCCGCGTGTAGCTGGGGGCGGCGGCAAGAAGCCCCTCCCGCCCAAGGGCTCCGCCGCGGAGTGCAAACAGTCGCAGCGGAATGCGGCCAACGCCCGCGAGCGCGCCCGGATGCGCGTGTTGAGCAAAGCCTTTTCCAGACTCAAGACCAGCCTGCCCTGGGTGCCCCCAGACACCAAGCTTTCCAAGCTGGACACTCTGCGGCTGGCTTCCAGTTACATCGCGCACCTGCGGCAGCTGCTACAGGAGGACCGCTATGAGAACGGCTACGTGCATCCGGTGAACCTGGTAGGGACCGGGCGCGCGAGGCTTGGGGCAAGCAATCCATTGATGCCGGCGGCGCTCCCGGGCGCTGGGCTGAGTGGGTCAGTGGGTAGTGTGTGGGAGCCAATTTAGATTCTCCCAATTCATGGGAGGGGCCAGCCGTTTTTTTCCTGGTGAAGAAATATCCACCCTTCTGTGTCTGCATTATGCTGATGATTGTGCATGGAACTTCGTCCAGTGATATTTATTGGCTAATATAGCCTACTTCCGGGGTGACTCGGGTTCTAAATGAATTTATTACCCAGTGGCAGTTGAATGGCAAATCTCCCTAGTCCAACTTTTTTCAGATAAAACTCGGACAGGTCTAATTTCCCAAGCACTGCTCTCTGAAAGGAAAGCAGAGCACCCCCCTCTTTCCTTTGGGGGATGGGGAAGCACTTGGATTTTTAATTCTTGCAGAATGGGAATTATTTCCCCAAATGAAATTTGTCTGGAAAGTCCCTCTCCGACCTGCCAACTCGCTCTGCTTGGGAAAGATCATACCCCAGCCTTATGGGGCCCCAGTTCCTACTTGGAGTAGAGGTGTATGTAATCAAAATCCACTAACATTAAAACTATAATTTAGAGAGAAGAGCCACTGATTCCCAGAACATTCATAAAATCCGAGCCATTATGCCAAGAAAGCCCCACAGTTCACTTTAGGAGAGCGATTTCACTTTGAGAAGGTTAGTTCTCCTTCCGTATCTGACTTTTTATTTTTACAGACCTGGCCTTTCGTGGTCTCAGGACGACCAGACTCTGACACCAAAGAAGTTTCGGCAGCCAGCAGATTATGTGGGACCACTGCCTAAGTCGAACTAGAACTCATTTGATAGCATTGTTGGTTAAACCCAGTGTGTCTGGGGACGCTGGATAGAAGGGAGAGAACTGGAGAACCCCGCAGAATGGGAAGAAAGTTTCACTGGATTCTCCTAGAACCTCCTCCCCTTCTCTGGAACTGTAGTCACGACAAGTGGTAGACTTGGGAGGCAGAGCCTGAGAATTGGCCCTAAGCTAGAGGGCCGACACCTGGGCTGCAAGCCCATCTGGGAGCCGATCTGACTTCTCCGTCAAGAGCATCCATCCATATCAGAAGCTCGGACCCAGATCCAACCTCTGGCTTTAGCAGTTACAGAAACTACCGTGCTGTCTGTGAGCTAAGCGCCAAACTTCCTAGGGGTTGATTTCCAATCTGAGTCAGACTTACTTGTGATGGCGCGAGTCTGCACACCGGCCTCTTAGAGTTAGGCTTGTTCAGAGCGCACAGCGCGCTCTTCACCATTGGCTTTAAAGACAGAAGTTTTCACCCGAGTCACCCCCCCATCGCAGTTACAAAAGAGAAAAGATTGGCATACCTGGGTCAGGTTTGTATCTCGAAGGGCAGCGTCCTCCTCGCTGGCAGGACGTTACCCGCCTCCGACGCTGCGAGGAGAGATTCGCAAAGACCACCAACCAGAGCTGGGTTATGCTGGGAGCGCTTCGGGAGGGGTGGTCCTGCCGCCAGCAGTCAAGCTTTCTCTCTCCCGGCAGGCTCCAGCCGCCTCCTAATCAGGCTTCTGCCCTCTACATTTGAACCTCATATCCCCTCCCTCACAATTTGTCCTTGGTCTCCTCTGTCCCTCCTTCCTTTCCCTTCCACAGCTCCCGGCAGTTTCTAACCCCAACTCCTCAGACCCAGATCGACTCCTTACTGGCTGTACCCAGTCTCCCCACTCCTGGCAACGGTTGCGCCCCCAATACCGCCTCCTAACGGGGACAACTTCCCTAGTTGGGAGAAATGATAAGGGATTGCTGAGGCTGTTCGGGACCAAGAGACCCTGTTCAAGGGGAACCGAGGCTGCGCTGCGGAGAGAGAGGGGCAGGCTGCACGACCGCAGTAATTATCAAATGTACATAAATTTATTTTTTTAAGAATAATAAAACGCATGGTGAAAACCAAATGCCCCCAGCGCGTCAGAATGTGGTCTTTGTTATCTTTGATTGGGTTTAGATCCAGAAACTAGTTTAAAGGTGACTTCCTGGTGGTGATCCTGTTTGGATCACTGCATTTCCAAAGGCAACTTTTAATAACTTCTGTGGTTCTGGACACCAAGGTTACTGAAGGCAATAACTGAATAATTTGGCTCCATAAAGTCTTTTGGGGGCCAGGCACACATTGAAAGTGATATAAGCATGCATCACATGCATCTTTCTTTCTCTCTCTCTCTCTTCAGGTTAAAACACACACCAGTGCTTACAATCACAATAGTTCAAGAACCTCCTACAGTCCACACACCCAGTTTGCCATTCTAAATGGCAGAAGAAGAAAAAAAAGCAATGCAATATGCCAATCCAATCTGTGCTTGGTTCGTTCAGTAGGGCTTTTCCCCAAAATTGTATGTAGCAGTGTTGCTATATATATATTTTTCATTTCTGTGTAATTTTCACAGAAGTGCTAACTTGGGAAGACTATCATAGGATTTTTTTTAATGCCTGTCTTTTAATAGTAACATTTTCTTTGTAGAACGTTTAGACAATTTAGAGTAGTGTGAAAAAATAAAACTACCCAAACAACTGCTTGATTTGCTGTGTGCATGATATTCTAGAGTTTGAAAGGCAAATTTCTTGACCAGAGAGAAAATACAAATGGAGTTGAGGAGATGAGAGGAAGGCTGGGGTACATGACTTCCAATGTGGGATTAAACCAAACTCAAACTCTGGGAAACTGCTTTCTGACACCCTTTTGTTGGGGTTTCATGCCCAAAAGGTATCTAGGCTTTCAGCTTCAATTTTCAGCCTTGACCCTGGCCTCAGGGCTTATATTAGCTGGTTTCTTTAGCATCAGGGACTTTCTGGTAAAAGAGAAATCAGAAATCGAAGTGACTAGTGACAGGAAATTTTATGTGTGGTTAAAGGCACTTAGCTGGCTGTAAGTTATGGTTGGTCACCTTCTTGGGGGTGGGGTACTTGCCAGAGGTCAAATCTCAATCAAGGTCCCTTCCAAAGATACTAGGAAAACGGGATCCTTTTTCAAGCAAAAGAAGGCAGCATGCTACATTGGTTAAGGTGAACCCTCGTGTCTTTGGAAACCAGGCTTGAAATTCAAGCACTGACACGCCACAGATTAGTGATCATATACAACCTGTCAAAATGGGGTAATTATTTATAAAATGGGGTAATAATACTGCCTACTTGGAAGGATTGCTCACCTAGGATAAGTGTGGTAACACTATTTAAGTCACCCTCTAGGCATTGAGTAGCAACCCTCAATGCTGACTACTGAAGGAAATGAATGGGGGGATGTGCCCTGACAAAGGGAAACACATAAACAGGCCAGACATTTCAAGAATCCGCTCTAAAATTGGGTCTAGTTTTGAGGTGACCATTATAAAACTAAAACAGAAAAGTCCCACAAGAGCAGAAACACAGAAAATAAAATGGGAAACAAAATACTACATGTAGTGAAAACATTTAAGAACAAGTATTTGTATAAACAAGAAAATATTTGGGCAAAGTTTTGTACATAAAAATATTTAGAATATTTGTTTCTATAATTGTATTTTCTCAGGGAACTTTAGGGGTAATCTCAGAGATGTTCTGCATCCCCCCTCCACTCTGTTTATTAAAGGGTGCTTTTCACTGACTCCCATATACAAAGGGTTATGCCTTATAAGCTCAGTTATTATTGCCACTTTGTAGTCCTAAAATTTATAGAGAAGGAAAAAAATTCTCAAGATTTTTTGCTCCACAATTGCTGTAAAAAGTTCAAATCTGGGCCCTCCCTGGTGGTGCAACAGGTTAAAGCAAACTATGAAACTCTCCACAGCCACTGCAATGCTGCAGGGCCAGTTCGATTCTTCGCCAGAGAGGTGACCCACATGGTGTGGCAGACCTCTCCTGGCCCTCCTGCTGTTCCCCTCAGCAGGGTATTTCAGTCCTTATACCTGTTCTGTTCCCTGCTCTGTCTCTGGTGAATCCTCCCCACCCTTCCCCGCCCCCCACCTCTGTCCTATACACCATTTCTTGTATAAATAAATACATCTTAAAAGAAGTTCAATCTTAACAAAAATTTTTTTAAGTAGGAAAAAAGATTCAGAGGCCAGTTTCTAGTAAGTCCTAATGAATCAGAGTAAATTGCTCAAGCCCTTTGATCTTTTCCTTTCCTGATCCACTCTAAGTGGTAGAAAGGCAATCCAACACCTTCCTGATATATATATATATATATATATATATATATATATATATATATATATATACACACATATATATATATACATAAATGTATGTGTGTGTGTGTGTATTTACATCACCATTTTCCCCCAGGCACTTGGATTGGAATATTAGGAGTTGGAGGAGTTGGGAACTGAGAAAATGAAGAGAAACAGAAGTCAGTCTGTCCTTAAGGTTATTTCAATTTGTTTATAGAACCATGAAGAAAAGCTGAAGCACAAATGTCTAAGAAATATAATGTAAAATGTACTGAGTAAAAATTTAAAAAGTAAATTGAAAAATATTTTGGGGGGCTTTTTGAGGGACAAAAGTATGATTATTAGTGTTAATGACTCAGTCAAAAAGAACAAAAAAAATCCCCTTTCACAGACTCTTCTGAAGATGGGTATTTTCAAAGAAATGCTTTCAGCATCGTAATTTTGAAACCTTGAGACATTTCTCGTGATTGTGGATGTTGAATCTATGTTGTGCATGTTCTCTTGCACTGGGTTTCCAGTTTCAACTTCACTTTCATCTGAGGACTCTTTTGACAGTGACAATGACCAATATAATTTGCAAAGAGATTTTTTTTAGAGGTGTCATTTTGCCCCCTGCTAATAAATGGTTTATTAGTTAAAAAAAAAAAAAAAGGAAGACACATTTTCCCTTCTCTAAAAAGAACTAAATGGAACATAAACCAATTTTGACAGGTAAGAGCTAGACAGGTTTAGCTAGGTAGATAGCCATTTTTGAAAAAATGAAAGTCAACTATAATGTTTTGAAGGGCAAAAATCAAGTAAATTTGGACTTCCCTGGTGGTGCAAGGGGTAAAGTCACAGCACTGTGAAGCTATCTGCAGCCACTGAAACAGTTTTGATCCCCAGCCGGGGAGCTGCCCACATGGTGAAGCAGACCAGCCTGTGTCACACAGTGCTCCCCTCAGCAGTATACTTCGCAGGTCTTCCTGTTCTGTTTCCCACTCTGTCATTCTGTCTCTGGTGAATTTTCTCACTCCCTGTACCTCTGGCCTACACCCCTGTTCGTGTATGCATAAATAAATAAATCTTTAAAAACACACACACACAAGTATTGATAATTTGCACTGTCAAGCATCTAACTGCAGGGAAATCCATTTGAAGGTTCAGAGTAACTGCATTTTCTTCTTTCAGTGGGGGCTTCTGCTCATCCACCAGTGGGTGGCTGCATACATGCCTCTCTGTGGTCATCACCCACCATTCATTTTCTTCTCTCTTCCATAATAGTGAAAACTGGCCTAAAGGAAAACTTCAAGTCTGTGATCATTAGAAGGTCTAGCAAGTAGCCAGAGCCAGAAATCCATGCACAGTTGTGTGAACACCATTAGCACTTAAGTACTCCTTAGCTCAAGTTAATCTCAGCCTCTCGCTGCTTGGTTCCGTTATCCCCTAGATAGTTTCTGGATCAGCCTTGGGATCCTGCAATGGGTAAAGAGGATTTTGAAGTAGTTAAGAGCAGGAAAAACAAACAAAAAAAAAAACAGAATCTATTTTGATTACTTTCTCAGAGGTGTGGGAGAGGAGGGATGAACAGAGGCTTTTTTCTTTGTTGAGAAAGTTTATATAATTTGGGAATTTTTTTTTAAAACCCATAATTTTTTGAAGATGGCAAATTGGTGTGTCAGACATAGCTGGCTCCTGTCTTGTCCCACTATTTCCGGGCTCTGCATCATCCAGCACTTCCCTCTGTGGGACAAGAAGAATATATCCTCACACACAGGCTGTTTAGAAAATAGATTAAATGAGATGAAGCGATAAGGCACTTGGGAAATAGTCATCTTACATTTTCCCCCTTAATTCTCATATGCAAATTTATCCTATAATGCTCCTTTGCCATTGTAATTACCTTATTCTTTTATGCCAAGTTTAATTTTTCATTCAACTATTTTTATTTTTTGCCACTAAGGAGACATTTCCACTTAGTTTCTTCTTAAAAAATAAAGATCTTGGGGCCTCCCTGGTGGTACAAGGGGTTAAAGTGCAGCACTATGAAGCTATCCGCAGCCACTGCAGCACTAGGTAGATTCCTCAACCAGAGAGGTGACCCACTTGGCACAGCAGACCTCTCCTGTCTCAACCACTGCTCCCATCTGCAGTGTATTTCGGTCAGTTGGCCTGTTCTGTTCCCCACTCTGTCTCTGGCGAATCCTCTCACCCTTCACACCTCTGGCCTGTACCCCAGGTCTTGTACACATAAATAAATAAATAAATAAATATAGAAATAAAGATATATATATATATAGTATATATATATATATATTTAAATAAAGATCTTAACAGTTAACAAAAAATTTTCCATCGAATAAAACAAAAACTCATGTAGGAGTACAGTATAGACTAATAGATTTTGATGTCAGGTAATTCAGAAAGTTTATTGGTAAGATTTCAGATTCCACATTGCAGCCAACATTTCAAAAACAAGACTTGTGGAGTCATGGTGTAATGAAAGAATTCCCAAAATCACCTGGAAAAACAGTTAAAGTACATTTTTCCTTTACAACTACATAACTGTGTGAGCTGATTTTTCTTTACAAACAACAAATAAAATAACATACTACAACAGATTATGTGGAAAGTAGATATGAGAATTCAGCTGTTCTCTACCTAAGGGATTTGCGTAAGTGTGAAACTGTGTGACTCTTCCTATTAAGATGTTTTAGAAAACATAATATTTCTCAACCTTTTAATTTTTAACAATTTTCAATTTTTAAACTTAATCATTTTTTAACTTTTATTGAGGTACACTGGTTTGCAACACTGTGTATGATTTGGGGAAATAGGCTCACTCCTTAAATACCCCTCCCCCACCACCCAACCAGTGGTGGTCTTTTACAGCAGACTTCTGTGCTCTCTATCCACCTTTGTTCCCAGTCCAACCTTTTCTCCCCCTCAAAAGCCTCAGCATCCAACCATATTGCTAGGGTATATTTTGGTTTAGTTTTTTCAGTTCTATTATGTTTTGTTGTTGTTCATGTTTTTTTCCTTCCTCTATATTCCATTTAAATGAATTCATCCAATATCTCTCTTCCTCCTTCTGAATTATTTCATTTAACATAATGCCCCCCATTTCCATTCATGATGTCATAAGTGGCAAGAGCTCATCTGTTTTTTTGTTTGTTTGTTTGTTTTTTTAAGATTTATTTATTCATACAGAACTGGGGTACAGGCCAGAGATGCGGAGGGTGAGAGGCTTCACCAGAGACAGAGTGGGGAGCAGGACAGGCAGATCGACGAAATAC